GACTCCAGGATCATGACCTGAGCTGAAGGCAGTCGCTTAACCAACTGAGCCACCCAGGCGCCCCTCCCTGTTATACAATTGTATGGCATTCATCACAATGTATAAGTATGTATGTATTTGTGTGATCATTTGATCAATGTGTACATTCCTCTTTAGTCTATAAGTTCCAGGAAGTTTGGTGCCTTGTCACACAGTAGGCATGCAAAAAAATATTCACTGATTGGATTTTTAAAGAGGGAAAGGAGAAAAAGTGAGAAAGAACTTGTATCTGAAGAAGTTAATTTTTTTAATGTGTAAGCTAAAAAGCTAAGAACCATAAAAGGTGAGAATAGAAAAAAAATTAAAGGAATCTTGAGTCACATACATACAAATACATATTGTGTATTAGAGTCCTTGGTAAAACCCACATGTTTAGCATTTATGAATGTCAAATTTCAAAAGCAGCTTTCTGATCAATAGTGTCAAACCTCTATAAGTTAGGTACTCATAGCTTGTGCTGTTTGCTCATAATTATCTAAATAGATCTTGTATACAGATCTATATGAAATAGGCTGCCTATTTTCTGACATAATTAGAAAACAGGCCATACTGCTTAACTAAATGTTCTGGTCAATAGAGTCACGTTACACATATCATACCCATATAATCCGTAGTCCATGAATTTGATTACAGTAAACTGTATGTAACTCTAAAACTCAATTAGCCATAATTGAACCATTGATGAAAACATGTAAAGATTGTGCAGCACTTTTGTGATCATCATTTTAGATACCACTTACCATTGCACCATGCAGACTCTAGAATCTATCCTGTATCAACTACAGGAATCCTCACAATAGAAAGCTGGGTGAGCTAAGTTTTGCTCAAATAAGTAGAGCATCCTGTAGTAATTCCAAGTTCTGTGGGATAGAGGTCAACCAATTTTATTAGTAACGAATATGTGCTAAATTCGTTTAAGAAATACATATAGGTCATTAAAATTTTATTATCACCTTAACCTATTGAAATCCTTAACCCTCATATATGTATTTACTTTTACACTGTTTTAAATGTTTGGTTTTCAGAAATGTGCTAAGATTGCCATTTCGAAAGTACAATGCCCCACATTTTTACTTCCCTGTAAACATTACTGGAGTTTTACAACACACTTGTGTGAGCCTTGATGACTGCTTCCACTGTGCAGATGAGAGAGGCTGAGGCATGAGGCTGTTTCTGTGAGTTTTGCACAGACAGCCCCTGAGCCCGTGGACAGGAGAGCCTGAGACAGAAAGCGATCTGTGTCTTCACTGCAAACACATCTTGTCTGCATCTGTAGTCTGGGGAGGTGGGCTGGGGGGGGCAGATCGCAAGACCAGAGTTGGCTTTTCATACTCACTACTACACTCCCCACAAGGAGCTCTTTGTGAAATGTGCACATAAATAAAAAGGGTATCAAGGTGATTACTAGGATGAATTTTTACTGCTCTGAAATGCCTGAGTCTGCTTAAGGGCAAGAAGAGAGATTAGTTGGCTTTTCAAGGCCTTTCTAAGAGTTATAGTTCTATCCAGTGAGAGTTTCACGGATGAACAATAGTTAAAGTGTTTACCTTTCTTTTTCTTTTCTTTTTCTTCATAGATCTATGCAGTTCGATCAGTTGTTCCCAACAAAAGCAATAATGAAATCGTCCTGGTGCTACAACAGTTTGATTTTAATGTCGATAAAGCAGTGCAAGCCTTCGTGGATGGTAAGTCTACAGGACCCCCAAACCTGTTAGAACTAACGATTCTATATCTTCTGTATTTTTTTCCTCGAATGCATTGAGTATCAATTAGTTCCTAATAATTTAATTCTCATAAAAATATGCTACACTTTAAAAACACATCTATGTACTCAATAAGTGCAGAATTTAGGATTTCTTTTTCCCTCATTAAAAAAAAAAAAAAGATTGTAGCTAGTTTCCAAAAGATACCTGTTGTAATGATACTAATTCCATTGTCCACCCCTTTACTTGATGGTGTCCTTATTCATGGAGGGTAATGTGCTTCCTGATTTGGAAGGCCTCCTCAACTCTTCAGCCCGCATAGTTCTACGTGGCCTCGTTGACCGCCATCCTTGAACTCGATGCTTACACAGTCTGAGAGGATTGGTTTATTCTTTAATATCCTTAGTTTTTTATTTTGAGATTGCCTAATTAATCAGAATATCAATTCATCTTATCTACCTCTAGAACCTTTTTGCTGTCTAAAAGAAGAATTTTCTTCAGACAACCCATTGCCAGTGATGTTATAGAATCTAAAGTGTCAGGAATATGTTTATCTTATAAACTTACATTTTCTGTAAATTATGGGGAAATTCTCCTCTCCTCTCCTATTTGAACAAGTTCCATTTATGAACAAAGATCTCATACTTGTCCTTAGTTACCATATGTCTTCCTCCCTGGTATTAGTTTCTCTGTCATAAATATGGACCAGCTAAACATAATCTGATAAATAAGGTCAGGGGAGACCTGTCAGCCCATTTCTCAGTTATATCCTGTTCATACTTTATTTGTTAGGGATGGTGTGATTTACTTATTTTCCTAGGAATAGAATAATTTTCCCAAGGTTCTGCAAGTATAATTGCATTTCAGGCAAGGTCCTGAAACCAGGCAATACTCTCACATTCTGATATCTACAATCAAGGTTTAGGGTTCTAATTGAATTTAAAAATGATTGCCATTCAAAATAGACCTGAAGGCAGACCCATAATGAGTAACTTTCCTGTTTTTTTCTGCCTCATGTACTAGCAGATACAGAATTTTGAGTTGTGAGAAACAATAGTAGAGAATCTGATATTAATCTGATTTGCAGCATTTAGTGCAATTTGTCTCAAGAAAAAATTTTTGGAAATCTGCACATCCTGGCTCAGATAAACTCTCAAGATTCACTTGCCAACGTCACTTGCGTGGAAAAAAGCTTTAGGAAAGGAAAAAAGTTATCCCCATTCCTCCCCACCCTCACTTGGTTTGAAGCCCCCACATTCCCCATCATGAAAGTTTTATTTCAAAGTGACCCTGATGAAATGCACAGATGCCCAGGAACTGAAAGACTGTCATCAAATCCATCTGTATTTAAGTAACGTACCTTGCTTGTCCTTGAAATTGTCACCTTGTCAGTGTTGAGATCTCGTTAGAATAACTCACTGATTGCTGAGAAACGTATCACTTTGGTTGGGGACCAATTGGAAAACTTGTTTAAAAACCACTGAGATTCAAAAATATTTGTTAGGAATCACTTATGAGGCATATTAAAAGCACTATTTCTGAGTGGCTTCAAAAGCTCCGAGCAGTTTCAGTATAATTAAAATTTAGTAATAACAGTTTCAAAATTCACTGTGAACATGAATATTTCTCCTTCAGAATTACTCTCTAAAAGCTCATTGTCCAAATTGCAAACAGAATTTATGTCAAAATATGCAAATTAGAGGAATAATTGAATATCGCACTTAAAGCAGTAAGCAACTCACCTTTCTCTGATTAAAAAGAACAGTACTTGACACTGCCTTAAAATTTAATTTTATTTGGAAAACTGAAGTTTGGCTGTAAGTAAGAACTACCCTAATGATTATTAGCCTGGATTGACTAACCAAGGAGCCTAATAAAAGTGACTTCTTAAAGTTCTTCAAAAGGAAAATACGGTGAAACATTAATTCTCTGGGCAAATGAGAGAGAGACCAGCTCAGTTAATAAAAAGTCTGAATTATAACTTACTTTTAAGTGCAGTCTTATTATTTCAAGTACATGTAATTCAGAAAGCCTAAGAGGGGCATTGAATTGGAAACTTTGAATAGATAGGAATAATTAGCCTGTCTAAACATTAGTCAAAGCAATATGGCCTTCTCCTTATCTAACAGTGACAGTGGACTCAATAATTGGGACCCTGCTAATTTGAAATTTGTTATAAAGACCAGCCTGAAGTTTATCTTCGTTTAGCCAACACACTCATTGTAGAGAACTATTAGTATAATGAGATTGTATGAGAAGGCTTAAAATTGTTAAAAGAATACATTTAAGAGCTACTCTTTTAGAAGTACTTATTTGTATGAAAACAACCCATGTACTCATTACCAATAACTTACTGTTGAAATGATGACCCACCCAGTTGGAATGAACGGAGAACTTTGTTAGATCACATGGAGACAGTTACCGTAGCTGATCAGCGGTAAACATGTCTTTTAAAATATTTTACAGCTTAATCAGATTAGGCTTTTCCTCTCTGAGCCTGTGCATGGCCACATACGTATGTGAACAGCATTGAGAAAACCTGGGATCAACTTGTCATTCGACGAACTTTTTTTTGTTTCCTAGTGGAAGCCTTCCTTCCGAAGAGCCCATCCCATCCCTTTGTGAGGTGACAGCAAAACCAACATCAGATAATCTCTCGTCCTTATCACGTTGCAAGCTGTGAATATAGTGAGTGGAAGGCAGGGAAAGAGCAGGAATGGGCACACAGAAAGCTTTGATTCACTTGGTTAATAATATTCAAAATCCCATGTTTGGTCTGGAAGATTACAGGTATTTTGATTCATATATCAAACAGAACAATTTTAATTCCACCTATGCCAACGCAGCTAACAGAACATTCTCAAGATATATTTCATTTTCTGTAAGACAACATAGTGATAAAAAGGTAAGCTTCATGTAGTGGGGCTTTAATACTTTGATAAAACCAAGATCGTGCAGTGAATTAAATGAAAATCTGGAAATAAAAAATGAAACTGGCATTTTTATTAAGGTAGGATGTATCAAAACAAATGAAAAAGCAAAAAAAAAAAAAAAAATCGCTGCCAGGATGGAAAGGCAGCGATAAATTCTGTGTGGTGTTTTATTACATGAATACGTGTTGAAGATTCTTTGTCTTTGTCTAGGCAGTGCAGTCCAAGTTCTAAAAGAATGGAATATGACGGGGAAAAAGAAGGTAAGATGAATATCGATTGTAAATTAATAACATCTCCAATCAAAACCTTCATGATTGTTACCATTTAAACAAGGTTGCCAATTTTATGCCTCTTCCATATATGTTGATATGTATACACGGAGGGCTTGCAAATTCAAGGCTCTCTTCAGTTACCAGCCAGCCTTACTACTAATGCCCTTGTTTTCTGTTCGACTGTTTTGAACCACCAGGTGTGCCTTAGAAGTCCCTGAGTTTTTCTTTTTTCAAGTATTAAGGGGAGCCCAGCCGGGGAATTCAAAGGATTCAAGACATTAACTTGCCTGAACATATTCTGTAGCACAAAGGAAAAAATTAGGGAGTGTTTTAGAGATACTTGAAAAGCTCTAAATATATTTTCGCATGTTCTTCCAATTGAAAGAATCTGTCCAAGGCTGCCCTGAGATACATTTTTTTTTTTTTTTTTTTTTTTTTTGCTGAGTTCTACATTCGATCTTTAACAAAGGAAGAAGAAAAGAAAATACCTTAAAGTCATAGTAAGTCAGGGACCTGTTTTTCCTTCTTGACAATCCTGGCAAACCGCTCTTTGAGAACAGAGAGAAGGAGATTTGACTCTGCCCGATTCGAATCATTTTGCTTTCTTGGCCAGTCACAAGGAGTTGGGCTTCTGGGCGCACGTGAGGTGTGCCTGTGAACCCTGTGGCCTTCTGTGTCTAGCCTGTGCCTGCCTGATCTTGTGAGCATCTGTAGAGCGCACTAGCTCCAACAAGGGGCACCACCTTTGTTCGCCGCCTGCAACCTGTTTGATGACTGTAACAAAAAGTCTGATTCTCCTTTCAAAGTAACTGCTCCACCCATCCCCATTATTTCCCAGCCGGGCCTTGTGTTCTGGGCATCCCACAATATGATAGGCCAGTCCCGCCTTCCCCACCGAAGGAAGATCACAGGCCTGCCAAACAGGTTTTAAGCAAACAGAAAGCAGCATCACTTTCATAAAATCCTGAGATGACTGAAATTACCCTTCCTCTTTCTTTCGCACCCGAATTTCATGGGAATAGGAAGAATTACCAGATTTTTTTTTTTTTTTTTTACCGTTGTGAGTCACCCTCTTTGACAATCTCTGCTTATTAGCTCAACTCGTGGCTTCCCTGACATCTGTGCCAGATGAAGATGATTCGCAGGTGATGGAAAGGCAATATTTACACGTCCGTGGAAAAATTTCAGATGTGTGGTTTGGTTATCAAGTTTCTCTGATGTGAGTAAAGGATCAGACAGCAGCTGTGGACCCAACTCGCTACTGAGTCCCCATCTTAGAGGTTCATTGAGAAAATGGTCTCCCCAGCCCAGCAGACACAGAGCCTGTGTGGGAATCTGGGCCGTCAGCCCTTCCCTTTGCCCTGTGAATGGCTTCTCTCAGCTCAAGGAGCACTCCTCCGGGGAGTGATTGTGGTTTCAAAGGGGAAGAAAGGGAGTTGGGAGGAGAATTAAGAGAAAACAGTTTCCTTTTACTGTTTTTTTCTTTTCAAACGTGTTGGAGAACAAAGCCAGGCTGATGTTCAGCGGGAACTCCCTGCTGCCGTGGGCGGGACAGGGTCTGGGCTGTTGGGTCAGGCCTGCACCATCCTGAATGTTAACTACACAGAGCACCCTGTGGGTACAGAACCAAAGTCAAGGAAAGCATACAACATAATTGGGAACATCTTAATTTCCTATATATTATTATGTATTGACCACTAGGGCACTGTAGGAGAGGTACAGTAAAACCCTGGCCAAATTGTGATCATCGGAGTCCAAAAAAATTTTAATGGTCTAAAATGCAGGGTTGTGCTACTTCCAAGTGAATGAAGTGAAGCCTGGTAATGCTGTTTGACCAGCAGCTGAGAGATCCAGGATTTCAGCTGCACAGTCCAAATCCAGGGGCGCCCACATCAGTTTGGCATGACTTTGTAGCAGTAGTGTCCTCCAGCTGACGTATTCCCGGGGATGATTATGTGTCCTGTGGCTGCCTTGCGCTCCGCGCGCAGAGGCAGCGACCCCAGGAATCTCCTGGTGGATCGGTGCCTATCTCAGAGACCCATCCTCGACTTTGGGACCTGCCTTCTACTTCCTCATTTTGCAAGGCCTTGTGGCCTTTCTCGTACTGACTCTCCTACTCAAGCTCCTGTCCTCCCTCAGAGGATCAGAACCCTAGAGTCCTCCTTGCCTCCCCCCGGCGTCCCCCCCCCCACCACCACCTCTTTAAGAAACGTGAGCTCTTCTCCAGTGGCACAATATCTGAATTCAAGTTCTTTCAAAGCAGTTCTCACAAGACTATATATTACCCTTCCTACATGTAGGGCTTCAATTTGCTCAAATAATATTTCAGCTTTTAAGCCATTCCCTGCTGTTTTTCCCTTTTAAGGGAAATTCTTTTGTTTACTGTGTTCATGAGGTAAAAGTTTACACAATTTACTATGAGAAAAAAGATACTTACCTGTGAGTGGTCAATAAAGATGTCGGTGTTTTGCCCCAGAAAACAAGTAAGATAACACACTTTATTTTGATCTCTCAGGTTCATCTTCTATCTCAAGGGCCGGGCTGAATAATGTTAACTTCTCATTTGTTTCTCATTCTAGAACAACAAGAGAAAAAGAAGCAAGTCCAAGCAGCATCCAGGCAACAAAGATGCTAAGGACAAGGCAGAGAGGCCCGAAGCAGGGCCCTTGCAGCCGCCACCACCACCCCAGATAGCAAACGGCCACGTGAACGGCTGTGAGAAAGACAGCTCGTCCACAGATTCTGCCAGCGAAAAGCCGGCCCTTATCCCTCGGGAGAAAAAAATCTCGATACTCGAGGAACCTGCGAAGGCACTCCGTGGGGTCACAGGTCAGTAATTCTTATATAAAGTTGCTTAGGAAGACATAGAAGAGAAGGAGGCAGAAGGGAACCCACCGAGACGGTGGCGGCCGCTACTGATACTGTTGGAAGAGAAAGGTCTTCCTTCCGACAAGGACTCAAACATCTTCCCACAGGAACAGGGTCGGGGGGATGTTACGGGGCAGAAGGAGAAAGCTCAGCATAGCCCTGCACTAAGAAGATAATTTTGTCCAAAGAACATAGTTCTAGTCTGTGTTAGGATCATCAGGGAAACAGAAATCCCAGTTAAAAGAAATTTTCTTTCAAGACACCTTTGCTGGGATAAGGGAGGAATAATTAGTGGTAACAGCAAATGTTATTAAAGGGTAGATCAGATTATTTAAACTCCTGGTATTTTGTATTATGTGACAGAACATAATCTTCCAGGGTGTTAGCATCTGGAATGTTAATTATTTGTACTATAGCTATATCTTAACCTACAAAAGGCTACTTTTTAATTAAATTGTATGACCTTGGGTGCATCATTTCATCTCTAGTGTCCCATTTCCTTTCTGTAAAATAAGAAAACTGTACCAGAATGTACTAGACAGTGGTCTCAACACTATCTAAGCGAATGCTCCACTTTTATAACAAATCCTAAAATAAAAATCAGAGAAAATATGGTCTATCTAGAAACAGAATTTCAGTAAAGCAAAAAATATAAGAAATCTGGAACAACTAAACTAGAAAACCTTATAAAATGGTCAGATATTCACACCCACTTAAAATGAATCACTTTGCACTTAAAAGAAAACAATGGTCAACAGGACATTGTGGACACTGTTTTTTTTTTTATATATTTGATGCGTGAAGCAAGAAAGAAATAAGCCTGTTTGTATATAGACCTAGAATCACTCTGAAAGCGGCTACTACAAATGCAGGCTGATGCAGGGACGCTGGTTGTCAAGTCAGATACCGTGACCGCACGAGTCATTGGCTGTGCAGTTTTCCAAATGATGCAAAGCTTTTGGTCAGTTCTGAACACCATGAAGTACAGTCTTTTCTTAATTAACCCCGTATTAAATCCTGGAACTCCATAGGAGAATTGTACAAAAAATACTTTGTGTTTATATGTAAAGCATCCAAGAGGACCTGAGAAAGTTCAGGACACAGGGCGATTCTTTGTTGTGCAGGATTCCTGTGATTTTAAGTCACCTAACTATGGGTGTAGGCCTCTCCACCCCACACACAAATTTTTTTTTTTTAATCTTATGTTAATCCCCATACATTACGTCATTAGTTCTAGATGAAGTGTTCCATGATTCATTGTTCGTGCACAACACCCAGTGCTCCATGCAGAACGTGCCCTCCTCAAT